AGGACCATGAGCCTAAGCTCAACCTCCGCAAGCGCCACTAGGTGAGTACCCCGACTCAGAAATCCCCAACTCTCATCCAGGTCTCGAGTTCTTCCACTCTGGACCATCAGACCCAAACCTACTCAATCGCAAGTAAGAGAGAAGCAGAATTTCTAGGAAAAGCCTCAAGTTATGGTATACTAATGCAAACATTTACTCCAATGATAAATGAATATCTGTGAATGAATGTTTGCTAATGCAAACTTTTAATCACAGATGTTATAAAATGAATGATAACATCAGGATGGAAGATAAAAGTACTGATGGTTATTTACAGCCTCCCAATGAATAAGAGGAGAACAGGGCAGGAATGTTATGACAAAATATAAGGGTAACTTAGATATTAATCAGAGAGCAGCAAAAACTGTCAACCGGACGATGTCAACGTTTCTAACCATGAGAGACTTTAACCATGGTGAACGAAATTGATAATAAAGAGACACCCACACAAGAACAATAATAGAGTGCTAAAGTGAGGAAAACTGAGGACACGAATCTCCCGACACAAAACGTCAGAGCAGCAATGAGACCGAGGTGAGGGGACCAGCCTGCTGTAAAGTGGCAGATATGGAGAATATAATGTATATAAGACACCGCCAGGGACCACCAAGGCTGGTCTCAGGGACCACCGAGGGCTGGTCTCAGGCACCAACGAGGGATGGTCTCAGGGAACTCTGCATGGTGACTGCTTATTCTACGGATATTTTACTTGGGTGTCAAATTAGAAAAATGAAATGAATGACTAGCAAGAAAGACCTCATGGAATCGGCTTTTTATTGTCAAAATATATGTAACGTTTACGTCAATCTTAAAAATATCTGTCCCACTTCAGAGTAATATGTGTTTATACAGAACACCTTCTTCCTCATCAAACTAAGACAGTCAAGCATCATCTCTGTACATAACCCCACGATTTAATTAGTTCTGGACTATGCTCAGGACTTGAGTATATTTAATGGTTGGTCAGTAAGTTATTGTGGTGGTCTTAGTAACTCTCATGTGGTTGATAGACCATTACCAAACCAAGCTCTAAATCTCGAAGGTTTCATTGGCTAGTGATTAGTTATCGCTGAGAGGGAATTGCTAAACACTTTGATCAAGCGTTTAGAACGCCCCAATTGTTGAGCAGACGGCCATTCGCGGGTGTTAGTTAACACGCACATGTGCAACACTACAGTTGTAAGACTATATTGTAAGACTAAAGTTTTTACAAGCAAAGTACAAGTCAGTTAGACAACAGGTGGCCTTCATGTGACAATGGAGTGATAGCACATAAAATGAGGTCAATGGGAATAACTGGTAAAGTAGGACGCTGGATACTCAGTTTTCTGTCAAACAGGACACAACGAGTAACAGTCAATAATATAGAGTCCAAGCGCAGTCAAAAGCTCTGTACCTCAGGGTACAATGCTTGCACCACTGCTTTTCCTTATTCTCTTATCAGATATAGACAAAAATACAAGTCACAGTTTAGTATCATCTTTTGCAGATGACACAAAAATCAGCATGAAAATTACCTCGGCTGAAGACATTGAAAAACTTCAAGCAGATATTAATAAAGTTTTCGACTGGGCAACAGAAAATAACATGATGTTTAACAGTGATAAATTCCAGGTACTCAGGTACGGTAAAAATGAGGCTCTTAAACAATATATATATATAATATATATATATATATATATATATATATATATATATATATATATATATATATATATTGTTTAAGAGCCTCATTTTATATATATATAAATTTATATATATATATATATATATATATATATATATATATATATATATATATATATATATATATATATATATATATATATATATATATATATATATATGTCGTACCTAGTAGCCAGAACGTCGTACTCGGCCTGCTATGCAAGGCCCGATTTGCCTAATAAGCCAAGTTTTCCTGAATTATTATATTTTCTCTAATTTTTTCTTATGAAATGATAAAGCTACCCATTTCATTATGTATGAGGTATATTTTTTTTATTGGAGTTAAAATTAACGAAGATATATGACCGAACCTAACCAACCCTACCTAACCTAACCTATCCTATCTTTATAAGTTAGGTTAGGTTAGGTAGCATAAAAAGTTAGGTTAGGTTAGGTTAGGTAGGTTAGGTAGTCGAAAAACAATTAATTCATGAAAACCTGGCTTACTAGGCAAATCGGGCCTTGCATAGTAGGCTGAGAAGTGCGTTCTGGCTACTAGGTACGACATATATATATATATATATATATATATATATATATATATATATATATATATATATATATATATATATATGTATTTATATATACGCATTTATATATATTTAATAATTATGTAACTTGCGTCAAAAGATTGTTATATATATAACAGAAAACTCCACACCCCAGAAGTGGCTCGAATCCAGACAGCCAGGAGCACTATGCAACTGGCATACATGGTACGTTAACCACTTGACCAACCGTGACCGTACAAAAGACGTTGGTAGCCGAGGCTATAACCCCAACATTCCGACGGCACTTGGTGGTAAGCTTGGGCATAGTTATTTCATCGAATCCCCTTATTTTGTTGGGCCATGTGAGTAACACAAATGCGAACAAGCTTGAATCGTTCCCAAGCATATATGCAACTGAAAACTCCACACCCCAGAAATGACTCGAACCCAGACAGCCAGGAACACTATGCAACTGGCGTACATGGTACCTTAACCACGTGACCAACCGTGACTGTTCAAAAGACGTTGGTAGCCGAGGCAATATATCACAGGAAAAAGGTTATTATGTATAACCAAACTCAATTACGGGCTCACCATAACCCGTGCTACATGGACACTTCGTCCTGAGTAGCTAAATCTTTAACAACAACAACGAGGCTATATCCCCACCATCTCGACGGCACTTTGTGGTAAGCTTGGGCATAGTTATTTCATCGAATCACCTCACTTTGTGGGTGGCCACGTGAGCAACACAAATGCCCACATTTATGAAATTGTGAATTGCCCACATTCTACGCTGGCTACTCATAGGGCGACCCCCATGTGTAGCCAGCGTAGAATGTGTACGCCTCTATCACACTAGAGCACTCAAACTGACATCAACGTACGCCTGTTTTCTTCGTCTAGAAAAGCGTATATTTCCAATATTCTGTATATATATGTAGTTCATAAATACACTTAATTGTGTGAGCTTTCATTCCTAGATTATGTTGAAGCAATGCAAGTCAGTAGATATTTATTCCAGTCTTGGAAGATTGGGTTTCAGTATTGGGTTCGTAGATATGGTCAGCATTATTAGTAGGTGGTTGCGGGTATTTAGAAAGTGTTGGTTGTTTGATAATATTATGTCTGGTTTGCCAGTGTGACTTTCACTGACGGATGTTGGGAAGTCAGTGTCCAGGTTTTGTATCATATTTCTGATCCTTACCATTCTGTGTATGACTTCTCCTGCCTGATTGCCATGTTCCAGGGCTCTGTGTTTTACATTCAGATATTCCGGAATACAGGCGGATATGTTCCTTATATTTAGTCTCATGTTGACTATGGGAAGGTAGCGCCATCCTGGTGTTTGGTACCATGTTCCAATAAAGATTGTTTGGAGTTCAACAGCCTGGAAGTTTTCCTTGAAATTATCGAATATTTTGTGTAGTGGGTTTCTCCTGACTGTAATTACTGCTCCGTCGTTGACCTGGTCATCTCAGATGACCTGGTATGTTTTGTAATTGAATATCTCTATCTTCTTCCCTTGATTGACCTTCTTGAGTTGGCGTCTATATATAAGATGCTGCGTTCCATTTCCCTAAGCAGTGTCCAACTTTCTGCATTGTGTTGAATTATTTTAGTGAGTGGACGGCCCTGTTAAACTCTTAGGTTAGTTCTACCTTGCGGAGTGCCTGCCTGTGGTGTATCCATTGTGTCACTTGCTGCTGTTCATACGTTGAATGGTTTGGGGACTCGTGGTGCAATGTCTTGCAATGTCTTCACATATGAAGGTGTACACAACTCTCACATGAACGGTTATTGCCTTCTCCCCCCTCCCTTCCCAAGGCGCCTCCACCCACCCACCCTCCTAGGGCGCCTCCACCCACCCTCCCTCCTAGGGCGCCTCCACCAACCCTCCCTCCCAAGGCGCCGCCTCCACCCACCCTCCCTCACAGGGCGCATCCACACACCCTACCTCCCAGGGCGCATCCACACACCCTATCTTCCAGGGCGCATGCACCCACCCTGCCTCCCAGGGCGCCTCCACCCACCATACCTCCCAAGGCGCCTCCACCCACCCTCGATCCAACATACCTCTCAAAACGCCTCCTTCTTCACGGACTCATCACCCTCCCCGGGCTCCTCCTCCTTACCTGGGCCAAGAGCTCCACTACCAGATCACTGCCTCAAACATTATAACGCAAAATGAGGATGAAAAAAAGCCAAATACCTGTCTTCAGAGGTAGGGCTGAACAAAGACTGATGAACAAAGATTTAAGAACAAACACAGGCTGGAACAAAGACTTATGAACAATGATTTATAAACAAAGGCATATAAAAAACTTATAAACAAACACAGCGCGGGACAAAGATTGAACAAAGAACTTTGGTAACATTGGAATGAGACACAATTTTGACAAATAATTTATTGTTTAGTAAGACAAGTTTCACGGAAGAGTAAGTGTGGAAGGTACTGAGTTACTAAGTCGTGATTGTTGACGAGAGTTGCAGTTTACTCCAGAGAACATGTGTCCTGGAAACGAATTATTTATTAAAAATATTAAGTTTGTCATTTATGATATGTGTTAGGACACTATTTGTTATCATATTAGTTACACTTAGAGCCACTGGAGAGCGGCTGTGTACACTGCCTCTTTAACACCAGTTGTACTCTTGCAATGTTCACAGGATATCATTCATCTTACTCGACTGTAAAATATATATAGAAATATATAAAACATTAGCCATTTATTTTCACCTTTAACGCCCATATCCATAGCCCCCGTGTCCACCGCCATATCCACCACCATAGCCTCCATATCCACCGCCATAGCCTCCATATCCACCACCATAGCCTCCATATCCACCACCATAGCCTCCATATCCACCACCATACCCGCCATAACCACCACCATAGCCACCATGGCGACGATAGCCAGGCTCGGGCATGGGGCTGGCCATGGCAGAGGCCACAAGAAGGAAGACGGACAACACAGCAAACACCTGCAACACAACACAACGAGGGTTTGAGAAATGATTAATATCAGAATTATTTAAAAAAAAATTCATACATTCTCATTTGGAACATTAGTATATTAACAAGCTTTCGTGATTCAGACAATGGCATCAAGGTCTCTAAACCTGGCGATTTCATCGACCAGTTGAAAGGAAAACCTTTAAAGACATGAAAACTTTGTTGGAACTGACGGCCTTAAACATGGTGTTGGAGGTTCAGGTTGTGACTGACTGTCCACAGCCGAGGTCCGCCTTTATATACCCAGCCTTCACAATGGTCACTCCAAACCAAAACTGCCATTGATAATGCAGCCAGACACGTTCCAATGACCTTCACTTCAGACGCACATAAATAAGAACGTGAATCATAACAAACGTTCAGCTGGGAAATGTCTCCACTTGAGATCAAGAATTCGAGTTTCAAGCCGAATAGTATTGTAGTCAAAATTATTATTACTTCCGGTTAAAAAAAAGTTAAAACAATGTCAAATATTATTAGAAGAACTTCAAAAATTACGAGATATGTTTTGGTTAGCATTTGTTTTGTGTTGGTCTTAAGGTCTATCAACAACTGGAGGATTAGGACCCTACGCTGAACTGTAAAATTTAATTACATTTATTTTTTTGAAAATTTAAAGTAATGTTTCCCAAAGAAAAATTTGAAGTGAATGAATGGCTATTATTGGTTTTATTGTATTCGCAACAGATAATGTCCAACCCCTCGAACTAGTCGATACAACAATGATATTTCTTCCTGCGGGTCGGCGTTCGATCTCCGACGGTTCAGGGGTTGGCCAGTGATTCTTCCCTCCATCCTCATATCCCAGCTCCTGTTCTGTCCTCGTTTCCCTTCCACGTGCTACATATTAATACGCTACTTACCATGATCTTAGTGTATACAAGTGGCTCATTTGAATTAGTCTTCATTGGAAATACCAACATTCCTTGAGTAATAACTGTTGTTTCTGAAAGTGAGGAGGACAAAGCTTGTTTTTTGTGTCGTAACCAGTACAGGAGGCACTGGAGAGTGGCTCCGTAGACAGACTCCCCGACATCAGCTGTGGGATTACCCGGACAGGATGGCTGGCACTATTGATCTGAAATTCGTCCTCCATGGGACCAGTGTCTATAAGGTGTGTGTTCCTTATCACCTCTCCACCTAGACGGACCCTACACTGATCCCATCCCCAGAGATGGACACTCCTTTCCCCTGCCCCCTTTCCAACGTTGAGACAGGTCCTCCTTGGAACACATGCTCTTGAATAATCATTCCGTAGGTAACAATCTTCTTCATGCTGATCTTGAACATCACCAAACCCCCATTTTGTTAGGCCAATTTTCATTGATGATACTGTTCTTTTGCTGTCGCAATTCTTCTTGTATTTTACCATATTCTGTTCAGTCACTATCATTGTCAACATCTTAATTCAAGCTGGAGTGACAGTACGTACTGTAATCTCCTAAATTATTGGGTAACAATATATTTTAATCGAACGGTATCCACAATGAAGTCATATGAGTCATTGAGCTCTTCTTAAATAAATCCATTTGCTTGATAGTCACTAAATAACTTTCAGTCGTTCTTTTGTTTCAACCACTATTCCCGATAAAGGCAGTATACAAGGTGGAATCCCTACACATGTTGAAATTACCTCTCATGCAGAAGCATTGTTTTAAGCATGAAAGCAGTAAGAAAGTGTTATATTTTATTTAAGGCTACAACGGTAGAGGGGCCGTATATGCACTGACAGTTCGCATTACGATAATAAGAAACCCTAGTGGCTGTACATTACCTGTCAGCTGAAAAACAACTGTTCCTTGCGGCAGGTAAATGCCCACTTCGGCAGATGTTTGTCAACCCCTGGCTACACCCTGGGGAATATGTTCGTTGGACCTTAACCACACACAGAGTACTATCGACCATAGTTGATATTTGCGTCAGGCGCCCCATTGATCTTTTTATAGTCGAATAAAATTCTTAACCGAGTAGCAAAACTAAGCCAGGTCAGGAAAATATGTAATATTTATAATAATCTAACTTTAGTTACAGGATGAGAGCTGTGTTCATGGTGTCCTGTCTTCCCGGCACTCTATGTCATATGTCCCTTTGAAACTACTGAGGGTTTTGGCCTCCACATGTTCTTACTACTCTCGGCCAGTAAAGAAGCCTGATATCTACTATCGCCTGAGGACACACCAGGAGCCCTCCAAGACCCGCCGATACACAGCACCTCTTGGTTTAACCGACACCGAAAGATCTGCCTAATAATATATTCAAACAGGAAAATATAAACAATCTATCAACTTTCGTGTAACCCAGATCCTGGATTATTGACCCAGATAATATTAGTTCACCACTGAATTTGTCTGGACAGTTGAAGGATGCCCAACACAGTATTGAAGCTTATTAGGCAAAATCGCAATCAGGTTTGCGGCTATATTCAGAAGCCAGACATCCGCCCAGCGTTGAGGATGAAACAGGAACTAATGTGTATATTATTTATCACAGGAAAACCAATAGGAGGTTTTCCATTTCACAAATTTCGCGATTCCTGAATCTGAAATACAGAGGAACATACGACTGTATTACATTCAGATGAGGATAGGATGATGGTTGAAGAGAGACCAGTTACAGCCCCGCTCCTGTGCCATGTATGTCCATAACGGACTTACCATAGCCGGTGCTATTTGAAACTTTTTGTTCCGATTAGCTGAATCTAACACAACAACAACAACGTTGAAGAGAGGCTAAAAATAAAGTAACCAGATCTCTTTGGGTTCGAATTGCTTTGGTTTTGGTCTTAACCTCTGGAGGGTTATTAAGACCACCACAATAGATTACTGACCAACCACCAAGTACACTTTAGCCCTAAACATAGTCCAGGACTAAATTAAACTCTCAGTGTGTATACACCGAGAAGCAGATACACCTCTGAGAGCATATATAGCCATTGGTTTGTATTAGAGGTGCTTTGTAGGAAATTAATTGTGAATCTAAAAATATTTACGAATTACATAAAAAAATATATTAAAACGCTAAGAAAATGACATTCATTCTTCTCTCGGTTTTATTAAAAGAAAATTATAGGTAAAATATTATTGTATTAAATTCACTTTCAGCTAAACAATAATATATGATATAGAACAAAATATAATATTTCATGATTTCAGAGAAAAACATTAAGTTTCAATAATGAATGTATATTATGTGACTATTTTGTCGAAGAATATTAAAAAAAAAATACAAGCACATATATGTTGATGTAATCCATGCATATATATATATATATATATATATATATATATATATATATATATATATATATATATATATATATATATATATATATATATATATATATATATATATATATATATATCTAAAGGTGTATGCTGCTTCTCTGTGTATATACACTTGAGAGTATGCTTTAGTTCTGGATCGAAGTATACTTGCTGGTTGGTCAGTAAACAGATGACGGGACCTTAACAACCATCCAGATGATGATAGGCCTCCAAGCCCAAACCGGTACTAGAAGGTTTACTTTTCCAATTATTCTGCATAAATTTAGGAATGACTATTGTGTTTACAAATAAACATTTCACATTAACCTAATGACCTCCTACAGGTCGCTGGCCGCAATGCCCAACACGTTGGATGGTTAGGTTTACATGACACTTGTCAGGAATATACATACCTACAAGATGTATTTCCATTTTCAGAATAAATACACTGAGTGTATTTTTGTTCAGAGTTATGGGCAGACCTGAAATATATTTTCTTGTTGGTCAGATAGTGACCTAAATAACCCTCCCTTCGTTGATACGACTGACGCCCAATTTCAAACAAGCCAAATGGTCGTTAATAAACAATAAATAAACTTTGGTAACATTTTAATGAGACACAATTTTGAAAAATAATTTATTGTTTAATAAGACAAGTGTCACGAAAGAGTAAATGTGGAAGGTACTGAACTACTGAGTCGTAAACGTTGACGAGAGTCGCAGTTTGTTCCGGAGAACAGATGTCCTTCTGGAAACAAATTATTTATTACAAATATTAAGTTTGTCATTTATGATATGTGTTAAGACACTAAATTTGTCATCATATTAATTAAACATAGAGCCACCGTACACTGGCTGTGTACACTGGCTCCTTAACACCAGTTGTGCTCTTTTTGTGTTCACATGATATCATTCATGCTACTCAACTGTAAAAAATTAGCCAGTTATTTTCACCTTTAACGCCCGTATCCATAGCCTCCGTATCCACCGCCATATCCACCACCATAGCCTCCATATCCACCGCCATAGCCTCCATATCCACCACCATAGCCTCCATATCCACCACCATACCCGCCATAACCACCACCATAGCCACCATGGCGACGATAGCCAGGATCGGGCATGGGGCTGGCCATGGCAGAGGCCACAAGAAGGAAGACGGACAACACAGCAAACACCTGCAACACAACACAAGGAGGGTTTGAGAAATGATTAATAACAGAATTATTTAAAAACAAATTTCGTAAATTCTCATTTGGAACATTAGTATATTAACAAGCTTTCGTGATTCAGACAATGGCATCAAGGTCTCTAAACCTGGCGATTTCATCGACCAGTTGAAAGGAAAACCTTTAAAGACATGAAAACTTTGTTGGAACTGACGGCCTTAAACATGGTGTTGGAGGTTCAGGTTGTGACTGACTGTCCACAGCCGAGGTCCGCCTTTATATACCCAGCCTTCACAATGGTCAGTCCAAACCAAAACTGCCATTGATAATGCAGCCAGACACGTTCCAATGACCTTCACCTCAGACGCGCGTAAATAAGAACGTGAACTATAACAAACGGTCAGCTGGAAAATGTCACCACATGAGATCAAGAATTCGTTTCAAGCTGATTAGTATTGTAGTCAAATTTTTTTTATTACTTCCGGTTAAAAAAAAGTTAAAACCATGTCAAATATTATTAGAGGAACTTCAAAAATTACGAGATATCTTTGATTTGATTGGTGTTGGTCTTAAGGTCTATCAAGCTCTGGAGGATTACGACCCCTACACTGAACTCTACAAATTTAATAACATTTTATTTTTTGAAAATTTTAAGAAATGTTTCCCGAAAAGAATTTGGATTCAATGAATGACTATTATTAGTCTTGTAGTATTCACAATAGGTAATGTCCAACCTCTTGGACTATTTAATACAACAATGGTATTTCTTCCTGCAGGTCGGAGTTCGATCCCCGACGGTCCAGGAGTTGGCCAGTGTTTCTTCACTCCATCCTCATATTCCAGCTCCTGTTCTTTTCTCGTTTCCTTTCCACATGCTACATGTTAATAATATGTTAGTATTTCGAATAAACACTAATTCAAGTGAGCCACTTGCATAAACCAAGATCATGGTAAGTGGCTTACCATGATCTTGGTTTATTCAAGTGGCTCACCTGAATTAGTGTTTATTCGAAATACTAACATGCCTTGAGTGATAACTGTTGTTTCTGCAAGTGAGGAGGTCAAAGTTGTTGTTTTTTCTGTCATAACCATTATAGGAGGTACTGGAGAGTGGCTCCGTACACAGCCTCGCCAACACCAGCTGTGGGATAACCCGGACAGGATGGCTGGCACTGTGTCAATATCACCTCTCCACCTAGACTGATCCCATCCGCCGAGCCTGGCCTTCCCTGGCCCCCCATCCCCTGAGCTTGAACATCCCTGGCCTCAATCCGCTGAGATTGGGTCTCCATGACCGCCATCTACTGAGATTGGACCTCCATGGTACCCATACCCGTGGATCGTCTTTCCTTAAGCACTAACCCTCTTCATTCTGATACTGCGCTTCACCAATTCCCAATTTTGCTAGGCCCTATTTTCATTCCTGATACTGTTCTTGTTGTGGTCACAATTCATGCTGTAATTTCCATTCTTATTGAGTCACTGTACGTGTTAACATTTCTGTCCCATCTGGTGTCACAACTACATACTGGAATCACCTAACTACAGAGTAACAACGTCTTTTCATCCGCAAATGTCCACGATGAGCTCTTTATAAATAAGTCCCACTGCTTGATAGTCACCATATGACTTGCAGTGATTATTTTGTTTAGGCCACTGTACCCGATGGTGTCAATATATATTTATTGACACCATATTGTATATATTGGAATTATCCTACACGCATAATGATGGTTTATTTTTTAGGGGCTACAACGGCACAGGTCTTATTTCGGTGAACTACTCTACTTTTGGCTACTAACCTAGCCTGACCTGGGGGCCTGACAGCTGAGTAGACAATACTCAGTAGACAATACTCAGTAGACAATACTCAGTAGACAATACTCAATACTCTACGAATCCACTTCGGATTCGTAGTCCTGAGGTTCCAAGTTCGATCTCCGGTGGAGGAGGAAACAAATACGCAGTTTAACTCACCCTGATGCGCCTATTCACCTAGCAGTAAATAGGTACCTGGGAGTTAGACAGCTGCTACGGGCTACTTCCTGGGGTTGTGTAACAAATAGGAGGCCTTGTCGAGGACCGGGCCGTGGGGACGATAAGCCCCGAAATCATCCCAAGATAAGAAGAAGCACGGGCTATGATGAGCCCGTAGTAGACTTGAAAACAAAGTAACTTTGGGGTTTGTAATAGATTTGCGTGGTGTTGAAAAATAAAAACAAATATGCGGAAAAACCACATGTGAAAAATAGAGAATGCTAAACGCGTTTTCAGCTTAAATCGCCTTCATCAGAGAAAAGTCGAATGGAGATCATTCTTCATTCTACTATCGTATCTTCATTCTACTTTGCTCTGATGAAGGCGTTTTAAGCCGAAAACGCGTATAGCATTCTCCATTTTTCACATGTAGTTTTTCCGCATACTTGGATCAGTGTTTTTGTGATCACTGTTGCATAAAAACAAATATGTATTTTAACCAAACATATAAATTTAAATTAAATGTAATTAAATTTCTTTCCTTCTAATTGTCATTTATTATTTTTGGGTATTTTTTTTTAGTTTAAATTTAATTTAAGCAATAAAGAATATTTTAACGACCGTTGCCAATGTCACCCAAGTTTCTTCCAAAAGTTTGAGCGAGATTGATATATTCTGAAAGTTTTCTGTAAGGATGGTACATTCTAAAAGTTTGTGTACATTTAGCGTATTTACAACATGCAAAACTTTTCCGTCTTCATGGGTACTGTATTATTTTCCTCAACAGTCTACCAAATACGAGTAATGATTTTGGCACGTGTATTAGATGTAAAAATATCAGGATTATTCTACTATACATCACCACGTATACCCGCTGTGTTAATAGTGAACTATTATAAAATAGTAGTGGCCTGCTATATGTGCAACTTGTTGTGGACAATATAACTCACACAGACCATTTCTCCTGTGTGGGGGAGATTGGATGGACGGCGCTGGTTATTAATAATATAATTATTAGTTTCCTTCTATGTCCTCATTTTTACTTTTATTTCCAAGGGAGGTTCGCAAATAATCTGATTACAAAAGGTTAATTACAATAAGCAATTTGCTGAAGTCATTAGAGTTTATTTAAAAGAAAGATTTTCTTAAATATCAATTGAAAAGAGGGTAAATGATACCCAACACATTGAGATGACCACAGAACGGACCTCGTTGTGAATCTGGAGCCAATTGTCTCCTGCATGATCAGGTCCTTCCTCACCTCTCGCCTGGAAATATGAAAAAATATAATTAATATTATTATTCGCATCATTATTATTATTATAAAAAATTTTATTATCTTTATCTGTATTATAATTATTATTATTAATAGTAGTTGTAGTTGTAATTTTTTTCACTTTCGAATGCGCATTTACTACTATAGTTTAAAGGAAATAGCAGAAAGTTGTATTTGCATAACTTCCATTATTTCTCAAGACCTTTCCTAATGTTGCTGTTAAATTATCGTGTTTACTTGAAAAATAATACTGAAAGAAAGTCTGAAGTTGGTGAAAAGCTTCGTCTACCTTAACGTCCATATCCATATCCACCTCCGTAGCCACCATATCCACCTCCGTAGCCACCATATCCACCTCCATAGCCACCATATCCACCGCCATAGCCTCCATATCCACCGCCATAGCCTCCATATCCACCACCATAACCACCACCATATCCACCACCATAGCCACCATGGCGACGATAGCCAGGCTCGGGCACGGGGCTGGCCATGGCCGAGGCCACAAGAAGGAGGACAGACAACACAGCAAACACCTGCAACACAAGTTGGGGCTACATTTAGTGAGATAATAATAATCAGGTTAAATATGCAGATCTACTAACTAACATATATACATGTGTATATATTTACCAACACTGACGCAGCAGTAGGTTCATTTAATTACTGCTACATTAAGATCGTCTCTATTTAAAACTTATAGAATATTTAATATGGCGTCAAAGTCAAAGACATTAAATAAATAATAAATACAAATATATAGAACAGTAAGGACAAAATTAACTGTGCATTAAGATGATGCAATTATATCTCTACAACATAAATCTTGTGGGAATATATCTAAACATCGAAGAATATTTATTATAAGTAATCCTATAAAGTAACGTCCTCATTCAGTCCACTACGGGCTCACCATAGCCCGTGCTATTTGGAATTCTTGTTCCAAGTAGCTGAATCTAAAGCAACATCACAAAGTTGTATATAAAAGAGAAGAAAGCCGTTCAACTCACTGCCTTCATCATTGTGTACAAGAGCTAGGGCGAGACTGTTCTCTGCAGCCACGCCCGGCGCCGCCCAATATATACCTCCCTCAGCAATGACGACCACCAACACACACGAAAACAGTCGAGAACACCGACTAAGCACTTTCCTCTAGCGACCTTGAGCGGGGGTGCCCTGGTGACCAACAGGCAAGACAATAACCCGATCAAGCAAAACTGTACAGGCGGGGAGAATATGAATACAAAAATTATCTTTTTGCTAATATCAGCTTGGGGTATATATCTCTTAACGGTAGAGTAGCAGTCTTGTTTGAGTCGCGTGTTTACCAACGTTGTGTGGCTGGTGTCGTCTCATGCAGGAACATGGGGATTTTCCTGCATATCATTATCGTTGACATAACATGTACTCGTATGTGTATTAACACAGTAACGCACGAAGCAAATAATAGTCTAAGGCTTTTGTGACAAATCATTGTGAATGCTGACCTTTTATTGCAGGGTAATAATAGTCTCAATGCGTCTAGGTATTTTTTTTAATTTGTTCCTCGTTCTGTCTCTGTTCCTCTTTTTCTCTCTATACATTTGATATTGGAAATATATACTAATTAACAGCTGAATTCGTACAGCATATAAGAAAGTAAACAAATAAGAAAGCAAATTAGTAAAATACCAAAGTAAACTAATAAGAATGTAAACAAATAAGAAAATAAATCAATAAATGCAGCTAGAACCCCCATTAGATAATCAAATACATAATAATTTTAATGCTCTAAAATTATCACTAAAGACAGTATAAGTGAGCATCAACTCAATTGAGAGACCAAGTCGCCGACAAATCCTCGGGTTCTTAGAAATCGTGTAAGATGTGTTAAAACTATTAAGTTTCTATTTTTCCTCTTGCTTTCTTCCGTATGAGGTCACGTTTTCTTCCCATCCATTGTTCAAGCTTGTTTATGACATTTGTTTTCCATGTGTAAAGGTGTATTGGCTCGTGTAATTGTTTTTTCCAGCGCCTTGGCTCAAGGTCAGAAATTGCAAGATTTCGAGCGCCTTTTCCCACAGTGGCTGAGTGCTGAGGCTGGATATATAAAGACGGAGCCTGGCTGGGTGTAGACAGTGAAAACCTGAAGTTTCCGACATCATGTTCAAGTTTGTGAGTTGATGTGGACGTCTGTCTCTAAGCAAGGCCTCTAGAGTAGAGCATGGGACGGGAAACAGGAATAGATTACCCCTAAATGGGGGTAAAACTTTCAGTTTTTTTGTGGTAATAAAGGCTAAACAAAATATTCAAATAAAGCATATACATTTTTTCATACAATTATATATTAAGCTGGTTGCGAACATTTTAGAAAACGACAGTAATATTTCAAAGAGAAAATCACTAAGAGTACCTAGAGCACAGGCTCGAATCTTCATCACGGCTCCTAATGATTTTCTCATAGATTCATCACGTTAATTTAATGAGATTTCTCTGTACATTGACAGTAATATTTTGTTCTACATAAAACTATTGAACTTGTAGGTTATAACACATATAGATTTGGCGTAATACCCAAGCAACTTTTTGACCTTTGCTCTAGAATGACTGGTTTTTTCTTTCCTGTTGAAGTGGACTTGAGTTGTATTTATTGATCATGAATAACAATTTAAACATTAAAATTAAATAATATATTTATTGGTGTATTATTAAATACATCAATATTTAAAAACATAAATAAAATTTGCTAAGATTAAAAATGTATTAAAGAGTTATGCAGAAATTATTTTATTATAATTGTTAACCATTATGTTGTGTTGCAGGTGTTTGCTGTGTTGTCCGTCCTCCTTCTTGTGGCCTCAGCCATGGCCAGCCCCATGCCCGAGCCTGGCTATCGTCGCCATGGTGGCTATGGTGGTGGTTATGGCGGGTATGGTGGTGGATATGGAGGCTATGGTGGTGGTTATGGAGGCTATGGCGGTGGATATGGAGGCTATGGTGGTGGATATGGCGGTGGATACGGGGGCTATGGATACGGGCGTTAAAGGTGAAAATAACTGGCTAATGTTTTACAGTCTAGTAAGATTAATAAAATCCTTTGAACATAACAAGAGCACAACTGGAGTTAGGGAGCCAGTGTACACAGCCGCCCTCCAGTGACTCTAATTGTAACTAATATGATAACAAATAGTGTCCTAACACATATCATAAATGACATACCTAATATTTTTAATAACTAATTTATTTCCAGAAGGACATGTATTCTCCGGAACAAACTGCGACTCGTCAACGATCACGACTCAGTAATTCAGTACTTTCCACAATTACTCTTCCGTGACATTTATCTTATTAAACAATAAATTATTTTTTCAAAATTGTGTCTAATTCCAACGTTAACAAAATTTATTTATTGTTTATTAACGATCATTTGGTATGTTTGGTATTGGGCCTCATGCATGTTAACGGCGGGAGGGTTATTAAGGTCACCAAAAGTACTTGCTGACCAACCGGCAAACACACTTCAGTTCTGCCCATAACTCTGGACAAAAATAAAATCTCGGTGTGTGTATAGACATAAAATGGGATATATCTTGTAGATTAGTATGTACCTGAGAGGTGTCACCTGAACCTAACCATCCGACCAGTTTGGCTTTGCGGCCAGCGACCTGTGGGAGGTAATTAGGTGAAACCGTCCTGTTTATTTGTAGACACAATAGCCATTCCTAAACTTATGGTAGAACAATTGGAAAAGTTAACCTTTTGGAACCAGTTTGTTCATGAAGCCTATCAACCTCTGGATGGCTGTTAAGTCCTTATCATTTGCATACCGACTAACCAGCAAGTATACTAAAGTATTAAGAAAACAGTACACAGAGAAGTGGCATACACTATATGCATGTATATGCATGGTTTATATAAATATTTGTTTGTAGTATTTATAAATATTCTTCAACAGTTTTTCACATAGTATTTATAAATTATTTGAAAAAAGGTTACAAGCATATTTTATCTTACCCTTCTCCTACAGTATTCTTCTGCAGGTTTCTATGAACGATGTTCATAGCTTTGCCACATATCTTACACAAAAATATTGACTCCTATGTACTTTCACACACTTCAGGAGTCTAACATGCATGAAAATGCTCACATATACTTGCATGAAAAACTCCAGCGAATGCGCATGTACAAATTCAGTATCTAAACAAATAATATATAATGAAGAGAATATTGTATCTATTCTCAGGGCATAGATACAATGTGAAAAAATCTATTTTTTCTTCAATGTATGTAAGAGTTCTTCGGGTTGTGAGTCCAGAATTCTTAGATGAAGAGTTTAAGAATATTGATTCTATTGGTCTCAAAATTTGTGACCAACATCCACTGAGTTTTTTGGAAGTTTGCCGTAGCAAAGCACGTAGTACATATTATAATAATATATGCAGTGAAAAAATTCGCCGAAAAAATGTGTTATGTTTACCATATTTCTCTAGGTTTGAAAATATGGTCAAGGCCTTGAAACTTTTTGATATACATGTATTGTTTAGCTACGAAAATACTGTTGGTAAACTATTAGTTAGAAACAGCCCTCGTAGTGATAATTGTGTCATTTATAAAATACCTTGTAAAGACTGTAATAGGTTCAATGTTGGACAAACATCTAAAGATTTGAAATGTAGAATTTCGCAACATAAATACTCCGTAAGACATTGCCAATTGTCTAATGCTTTGTTTGTTCATTTGTCAGAAAATGCTCACCAAATTGATTGGGAGATGGCTTCTTCAATAACGAATTGTAAAAGCACTTATAACAGGAAAATAATTGAATCTGCTTTAATACAGATTACAAAAGAATGTAATTTGAACATTAGCAGTGGTTTATATATCTTAGATCCATTTTTGATAGATCAATTAAAGGGCGATTTGAGTAGGATCATTGATACACATTTCTCTCACTAATTCATTGTAAATATTTACTATCTTATACTATAATTATCCATGTGTGGGCCTATGGGTGGTTATAAATAGGAGCTGCCTCGCATGGGCAAATTGGCCTTCTGCAGTTCTTATGCGGCTATTATTTGTATCCACCTAATTCCCATTCATTTTTCATTGTATCTCGCCTCACTCTGCTGCCTATATATATGTCCAATACTTGACTTGTAAATCATTCATTCCTTCTGAAGATGTATTAATATACGAAAGTACTTAAGGAAATTCCTGTTTTAATTCTTCCTTCATATATATATATATATATATATATATATATATATATATATATATATATATATATATATATATATATATATATATATATATATATATATATATATATATTAGTTTCCTGTTATTTCCTCATTTTTACTTATATTTCCAAGGGGGGTTTGCAAATAATCTGATTACAATAGGTTAACTACAATAAGCAATTTGTTGAAGTCATTAGAGTTTATTTAAAAGAAAGATTTTCTTAAATAACAATTGAAAAGAGGGTAAATGATACCCAACACATTGAGATGACCACAGAACGGACCTCGTTGTTAAGCTGGAGCCAATTGTCTCCTGCATGATCTGGTCCTTCCTCACCTCTCGCCTGGAAATATGAAAAAATATAATTATTATTATTATTTGTATCATTATTATTATTATTATTAAAAATTGTATTATCTTTATCTGTATTATAATTATTATTATTAATAGTAGTTGTAGTTGTAATCTTTTTCACTTTCGAATGCGCATTTACTACTATAGTTTAAAGGAAATAGCAGAAAGATGTATTTGCATAACTTCCATTATTTCTCAAGATCTTTCCTAATGTTGCTGTTAAATTATCGTGTTTACTTGAAAAATACTATGAAAGTCTGAAGTTGGTGAAAAGCTTCGTCTACCTTAACGTCCATATCCATATCCACCTCCGTAGCCACCATATCCACCTCCGTAGCCACCATATCCACCTCCGTAGCCACCATATCCACCTCCATAGCCACCATATCCACCGCCATAGCCTCCATATCCACCACCATAACCACCACCATATCCACCACCATAGCCACCATGGCGACGATAGCCAGGCTCGGGCACGGGGCTGGCCATGGCCGAGGCCACAAGAAGGAGGACAGACAACACAGCAAACACCTGCAACACAAGTTGGGGCTACATTTAGTGAGATAATAATAATCAGATTAAATATACAGACCTACTAACTAACATATACACATATGTATATATTTACCAACACTGACGCAGCAGTAGGTTTATTTAATTACTGCTACATTAAGATCGTCTCTATTTAGAACTCGTAGAATATTTAAAATGGCGTCAAAGTCAAAGACATTAAATAAATAATAAATACAAATATATAGAACAGTAAGGACAAAATTAACTGTGCATTAAGATGATGCAATTATATCTCTACAACATAAATCTTGTGGGAATATATCTAAACATCGAATATTATTTATTATAAGTAATCCTATAAAGTAACGTCCTCATTCAGTCCACTACGGGCTCACCATAGCCCGTGCTACTTGGAATTCTTGATCCGAGTAACTGAATCTAAAGCAACATCACAAAGTTATATATAAGACAGAAGAAAGCCGTTCAACTCACTGCCTTCATCATTGTGTACAAGAGCTGGGGCGAGACTGTTCTCTGCAACCACGCCCGGCGCCGCCCAATATATACCTCCCTCAGCAATGACGACCACCAACACACACGAAAACAGTCGATAACACCGACTAAACACTTTCCTCTAGCGACCTTGAGCGGGGGTGCCCTGGTGACCAACAGGCAAGACAATAACCCCGATCAAGCACAAATCCACAGGCGGGGAGAATATGAACACAAAATATATCTTTATGCTAATATCAGCTTGGGGTATATATCTCTTAACGGTAGAGTAGCAGTCTTGTTTGAGTCGCGTGTTTACCAACGTTGTGTGGCTGGTGTCGTCTCATGCAGGAACATGGGGATTTTCCTGCATATCATTATCGTTGACATAACATGTACTCGTATGTGTATTAACACAGTAACGCACGAAGCAAATAATAGTCTAAGGCTTTTGTGACAAATCATTGTGAATGCTGACCTTTTATTGCAGGGTAATAATAGTCTCAATGCGTCTAGGTATTTTTTTTAATTTGTTCCTCTTTCTGTCTCTGTTCCTCTTTTTCTCTCTATACATTTGATATTGGAAATATATACTAATTAACAGCTGAATTCGTACAGCATATAAGAAAGTAAACAAATAAGAAAGCAAATATAGTAAAATACCAAAGTAAACTAATAAGAATGTAAACAAATAAGAAAATAAATCAATAAATGCAGCTAGAACCCCCATTAGATAATCAAATACATAATAATTTTAATGCTCTAAAATTATCACTAAAGACAGTATAAGTGAGCATCAACTCAATTGAGAGACCAAGTCGCCGACAAATCCTCGGGTTCTTAGAAATCGTGTAAGATGTGTTAAAACTATTAAGTTTCTATTTTTCCTCTTGCTTTCTTCCGTATGAGGTCACGTTTTCTTCCCATCCATTGTTCAAGCTTGTTTATGACATTTGTTTTCCATGTGTAAAGGTGTATTGGCTCGTGTAATTGTTTTTTCCAGCGCCTTGGCTCAAGGTCAGAAATTGCAAGATTTCGAGCGCCTTTTCCCACAGTGGCTGAGTGCTGAGGCTGGATATATAAAGACGGAGCCTGGCTGGGTGTAGACAGTGAAAACCTGAAGTTTCCGACATCATGTTCAAGTTTGTGAGTTGATGTGGACGTCTGTCTCTAAGCAAGGCCTCTAGAGTAGAGCATGGGACGGGAAACAGGAATAGATTACCCCTAAATGGGGGTAAAACTTTCAGTTTTTTTGTGGTAATAAAGGCTAAACAAAATATTCAAATAAAGCATATACATTTTTTCATACAATTATATATTAAGCTGGTTGCGAACATTTTAGAAAACGACAGTAATATTTCAAAGAGAAAATCACTAAGAGTACCTAGAGCACAGGTTCGAATCTTCATCACGGCTTCTAATGATTTTCTCATAGATTCATCACGTTAATTTAATGAGATTTCTCTGTACATTGACAGTAATATTTTGTTCTACATAAAACTATTGAACTTGTAGCTTATAACACATATAGATTTGGCGTAATACCCAAGCAACTTTTTGACCTTTGCTCTAGAATGACTTGTTTTTTCTTTCCTGTTGAAGTGGACTTGAGTTTTATTTATTGATCATGAATAACAATTTAAACATTAAAATTAAATAATATATTTATTAGTGCATTATTAAATACATCAATATTTAAAAACATAAATAAAATTTGCTAAGATTAAAAATGTATTAAAGAGTTATGCAGAAATTATTTTATTATAATTGTTAACCATTATGTTGTGTTGCAGGTGTTTGCTGTGTTGTCCGTCCTCCTTCTTGTGGCCTCAGCCATGGCCAGCCCCATGCCCGAGCCTGGCTATCGTCGCCATGGTGGCTATGGTGGTGGTTATGGCGGGTATGGTGGTGGATATGGAGGCTATGGTGGTGGATATGGAGGCTATGGCGGTGGATATGGAGGTTATGGTGGTGGATATGGCGGTGGATACGGGGGCTATGGATACGGGCGTTAAAGGTGAAAATAACTGGCTAATGCTTTACAATCGAGTAAGATTAATGAAATCCTTTGATCATAACACGTGCACAACTGGAGTTAAGGTGCCAGTGTACACAGCCGCCCTCCAGTGACTCTAATTGTAACTAATATGATAACAAATATAGTGTCCTAACACATATCATAAATGACATACCTAATATTTTTAATAACTAATTTATTTCCAGAAGGACATGTATTCTCCGGAACAAACTGCGACTCGTCAACGATCACGACTCAGTAATTCAGTACTTTCCACAATTACTCTTCCGTGACATTTATCTTATTAAACAATAAATAATTTTTTCAAAATTGTGTCTAATTCCAACGTTAACAAAATTTATTTATTGTTTATTAACGATCATTTGGTTTGTATGGTATTGGGCCTCATGCCTGTTAACGGCGGAAGGGTTATTAAGGTCACCAAAAGTACTTGCTGACCAACCGGCAAACACACTTCAGTTCTGCCCATAACTCTGGACAAAAATAAAATCTCGGTGTGTGTATAGACATAAAATGGGATATATCTTGAAGATTAGTATGTACCTGAGAGGTGTCACCTGAACCTAACCATCCGATCAGTTTGGCTTTGCGGTCAGCGACCTGTGGGAGGTAATTAGGTGAAACCGTCCTGTTTATTTGTAGACACAATAGCCATTCCTAAACTTATGGTAGAACAATTGGAAAAGTTAACCTTTTGGAACCAGTTTGTTCATGAAGCCTATCAACCTCTGGATGGCTGTTAAGTCCTTATCATTTGCATACCGACTAACCAGCAAGTATACTAAAGTATTAAGAAAACAGTCCACAGAGAAGTGGCATACACACTATATGCATGTATATGTATGGTTTATATAAATATTTGTTTGTAGTATTTATAAATATTCTTCAACAGTTTATCACATAGTATTTATAAATTATTTGAAAAAAGGTTACAAGCATATTTTATCTTACCCTTCTCCTACAGTATTCTTCTGCAGGTTTCTATGAACGATGTTCATAGCTTTGCCACATATCTTACACAAAAATATTGACTCCTATGTACTTTCACACACACTTCAGGAGTCTAACATGCATGAAAATGCTCACATATACTTGCATGAAAAACTCCAGCGAATGCGCATGTACAAATTCAGTATCTAAACAAATAATATATAATGAAGAGAATATTGTATCTATTCTCAGGGCATAGATACAATGTGAAAAAATCTATTTTTTCTTCAATGTATGTAAGAGTTCTTCGGGTTGTGAGTCCAGAATTCTTAGATGAAGAGTTTAAGAATATTGATTCTATTGGTCTCAAAATTTGTGACCAATATCCACTGAGTTTTTTGGAAGTTTGCCGTAGCAAAGCACGTAGTACATATTATAATAATATATGCAGTGAAAAAAATCGCCGAAAAAATGTGTTATGTTTACCATATTTCTCTAGGTTTGAAAATATGGTCAAGGCCTTGAAACTTTTTGATATACATGTATTGTTTAGCTACGAAAATACTGTTGGTAAACTATTAGTTAGAAACAGCCCTCGTAGTGATAATTGTGTCATTTATATAATACCTTGTAAAGACTGTAATAGGTTCAATGTTGGACAAACATCTAAACATTTGAAATGTAGAATTTCGCAACATAAATACTCCGTAAGACATGGCCAATTGTCTAATGCTTTGTTTGTTCATTTGTCAGAAAATGCTCACCAAATTGATTGGGAGATGGCTTCTTCAATAACGAATTGTAAAAGCACTTATAACAGGAAAATAATTGAATCTGCTTTAATACAGATTACAAAAGAATGTAATTTGAACATTAGCAGTGCTTTATATATCTTAGATCCATTTTTGATAGATCAATTAAAGGGCGATTTGAGTAGGATCATTGATACACATTTCTCTCACTAATTCATTGTAAATATTTACTATCTTATACTATAATTATCCATGTGTGGGCCTATGGGTGGTTATAAATAGGAGCTGCCTCGCATGGGCCAATTGGCCTTCTGCAGTTCTTATGCGGCTATTATTTGTATCCACCTAATTCCCATTCATTTTTCATTGTATCTCGCCTCACTCTGCTGCCTATATATATGTCCAATACTTGACTTGTAAATCATTCATTCCTTCTGAAGATGTATTAATATACGAAAGTACTTAAGGAAATTCCTGTTTTAATTCTTCCTTCATATATATATATGCGAACAAGCCTGAATGGTCCCCAGGACATATGCAACTGAAAACTCACACCCCAGAAGTGACTCGAACCCATACTCGAGTGTGATATATATATATATATATATATATATATATATATATATATATATATATATATATATATATATATATATATATATATATATATATATATATATATATATATATATATATATATATATATATATATATTAGTTTCCTGTTATTTCCTCATTTTTACTTATATTTCCAAGGGAGGTTTGCAAATAATCTGATTACAATAGGTTAACTACAATAAGCAATTTGTTGAAGTCATTAGAGTTTATTTAAAAGAAAGATTTTCTTAAATAACAATTGAAAAGAGGGTAAATGATACCCAACACATTGAGATGACCACAGAACGGACCTCGTTGTTAAGCTGGAGCCAATTGTCTCCTGCATGATCTGGTCCTTCCTCACCTCTCGCCTGGAAATATGAAAAAATATAATTATTATTATTATTTGTATCATTATTATTATTATTATTAAAAAATTTATTATCTTTATCTGTATTATAATTTTATTCAGTTTATAATTATTATTATTATTATTAATGGTAGTTGTAGTCTCGTCATTATCTTTTTCACTTTCGAATGCGCATTTACTGCTGTAGTTTAAAGAAAATAGCAGAAAGTTGTATTTGCATTACTTCCAGTATCTCTCAAGATCTTTCATAATGTTGCTCTTAAATTATCGTGTTTACTTGAAAAATAATATTGAAAGAAAGTCTGAAGTTGGTGAAAAGCTCGGTCTACCTTAACGTCCATAT